TTTTTTGGCCACCCAACCCCAGGGGGGGGGAAGGGCCCCCCCCCCCCCCCCCCCCCGGAGGCTACGGCCCTGGTTTATAGCTGTTTAGGTAAGGGAGATCTGCTTGAAAGCGATTTTACAGTTAAATATATATAAATATAAATAAATAGATTAATAAACAAATGAAGATTTTTGATGCCACAGCAATTTCTCATAGCATGATAATATTTATTTATTTATTTATTTATTTATTTATTTATTTATTTATTCATTTATTGCATTATCTAAGCGGATAAGGAAAATAATTTTAACGCATCGAACTTCCTTGTCATACTCAGGGTGCCAGTGTAACGAAGAGTTGGTTTGAAATCGAGACTTGGATTCAGGAGTCTGCCAATCGGCAATCCTCGGCTCATTCCGCAAGCTCCATACTATTGTCGAGTGCGGAGACATCCGAGTAGTTCCGAGTGGGAGTCTGCCCCTGGCGTTTAACGTAAATCACGGTTTTGTTGATATTTCATGCATTTTAGAGAATTTAGTAAATGGCCAGCTTTGTTTTGACATTGAATACATATGTGGTTATCAGTATAACGGTCACTATATTTTTTCACACTTTTTTTCAGTGGCGCTTCTTGTGTAGTTGAGACGATAGGTGTCGCACACATTGTGTTGGCAAAATGGCAAACGAGGAAGAGAAGTATTTCAAAGAACTCGACTTCAAAATAGAAAATCTTCGGAAACGTGGCCTTGAACTCGGACTCTCAGAAAAGGAGATTGACATTTGCATGATACAAGCGACCAAGCAGAGAATAAATCATAAGGAAGATCGTACTTTATTTTCTCTGTTGATGAGATTCTTGAAGTATTCATTTTTCATTTGTGCGATACTGTATTTATTGGTGATAACATTTTCTTTTGTTGTGACTCACAATAAAGGTGTGCAGCTTTTTATGGGAAGAGTTCTTGCGCCCTATGGGTATACAATATTTAGAGCGATACGACTGGCGTTTCTTCCGGTCACAAAGAATACAAACATAACAAGTAAGTAATTGTAAACATTCCCCTCAGCCTTAGGTATTACATGGGTGCTGCATTACATGTATGTCACATATTACACATTTTTAGAATTTTTAAAAGGAGATTTATTGTACATGCATATTATAGTCTTCAACAGAAAGTGGACTTTGTAGAACTATATATACATATACATGTACTAGTACCTAATCTATTAACATGTATATATTCAGTGTCAGAATAATTAATAGTAATCACTATTTGCAAAAAATATATTATTTGCAAATTTAGGGCTAGAAAGAAAAATGGATATTTTTAAAACTTGGTTTCAGGTAGTGTCACGTTCACTTACTTGATTATAGCTCTGGTCATTAGTCATATGTTAATGTTTAAAAACCACTAAATAACATAATATTATGGTTGTGTAAGAAAACTGTGGGCTATGTAAAGCTTTGATGTAGCCATCAATATAATACCTGTAAGAATTACATAAAATTAAAAAAATATACTAATATACATTTTCAACTTTGAACTTTTGAATGTAACATCAGTTGGTCATCAGCATTGAAAAAGCCAGGATAGATACTGGGGTATATCAGAAAAAATTCAAACTGATCAGAAAAATATAATATTTATATCTTCAGAAAGGTAATGCAAAACAGATTGCAATTCTTTTGGAATTTTTAAAATATTCCTACAAGCAACAAAGATATAGAAGTTTTTAAAACTGCTATATTACACCCAAAGACCTGTGACCACTGACCAGCGCATCAGATTAACTATACTTCTCATTATTCAATTATCATAAAGGTTTTTTTTCCCATTAGATTGTAAAATTTCCTAAACTTTTAAATGGTATAAATTACACAGCTCTAAAAGAGAGATTTGAAAGGGATGTCACAAGCAACCTGTGAGCAGGCTGGTCACAGTTTTGCCAGTACTGCAGCTGGACAGTGGCTACTGTGGCGCCCCTGGCGCATTGTGATATACCTAGCTGCAGCCAGGAGCTGGTGAAATGGGTCCCAGGTTTAACAAATATCAGAATGTTAGAAAATGTCCAATGATTAACTTTCTATCAAAGAAATTAATTATTTCATAGTCCAATCCAATGAGGCAGAAAATAATCACTCTTATTCATTGATCCTTCAAATCCTGACCCTTGCTGTGGCCAGTCAGCATAGTAAGTGGCTTCTCCCCCAGCAAGCCAGGCAGCCCACCATGAAAAAGTCCCCACTGTCATTATTGTGTGATTACACAGGGAGAGAATAGCCAGGTCTACATACGCTGGGTTGCTTTCTTCAGTGAAAACTACATTGCCATCAGTGTCTGGGATATTCTTTTTACACCATGGTATTTCATCACTGCAGACAATAAAGATAGAATCAGGGTATCTGTCTTTAAAGTAAGCCATTGCTCTATGAATGTATGCTGCATCAGCAACTTTGTGGCCATGGGATATCAGATTTTGGTCGTAGGTGAAATCTCCTCTTCTGACATGAAGCCCTATGAAAGTTGGATTTTCTGATGTCTTTTTCAGCTGAGCAACCATGTTTGAGAGGCTTTCTCTGGCTGTGCTCTGTATGTGGTCTTGAAATGTAAACTCCCTTCGTATATCTTTTTCCCATGGTTCTAGGTATCTCCAACTTTGTAAATAGCCAGACAGGTGAATGTTCTCTGGAGGGAGACTTTTTAAAGCAGGATAAAACTCACAGCAGGTGTAGGTTTTCAGTTGAAGAAAGCTGTCAGTGAGATTGGGCTCATAGTGAAGTATCCTTGCTGTGGGCTGGAAAATACTCTCTATTTCTTTTCTTGGATTGTCGTAAATGAATTCCATCTTGTTCCACTGAGCCACAGCAAAGCTTGAAGCATACATAAACATTTTATTTCCTAATCCATGCCCATATGCTCTCATTGCTAGTTTATAGGGTTTGTCTCTCCTGTTCTGATTTGGCTTATCATCAAGAGATTCTTGATAATTATTATAATATTTCCGATCTTTTATCTTTGTACCATTAATGTTGATTTCAATATACCTAGATAGTCCAATTTTCCATGTACTGAGTTCTGGATTCTTGTAAGTAACAAAGTTATCTGAAGTTGTTGTGATGGAATGTGCTTGACAATACCTGAAAAAAACTTGGGCTAAGTCCACATAACAGTTTTTGTCAGTTTCCATGTTGCCTAGCCTTCCAGGTACAAATAACAGCATTATAGTCAGTGTGATTAAATGTACTGGTACATGAGGAAATGTAGCCATTTTGAGCTTGTTTTGCCCTAAATTATAACCTTGTTCATTAATGTAAGTTTGTCATCCATTTGATCTGAAAATGAAGCAAAGTCTTATTTTTTTAATTTGTAACATATTAAGCAGTGCAAAATGATATTTTATCCAAATAAGTCTGTACATGTTGGTAAGCACTATCAAAAAATTATTTTTTTTCTTTAAAAGTAGTGAGGTATGATAATCAGTCAATCAGTCTCAAGCAAAAGCAACAATGGTTATACTTGAGACCGATTGGCTTTTACACAAGGTGATACATCAGTAAGTAATGAACTGATATATTACTTTTCAGCATGATAAATCTGCAACATTATTCTGACAAATGTGCCCACAGGGTATTGATCACTCTTCAGGGGATATCAACTGGACTCTGAGAGTTTGCCTATATTTTAGGAACATTTTTAATGATAAATTATAAAAATTTATAATTTTGTGAAGATGTATCTTACCTTCAGCCATCACTGGATGAATATATAGTGGTTTAGGAATTGTTCAGTGGTTACAAGGCAAATATATATCTTTATTCTAGTATGTGCGTGTTAAAGGACACATTGATTGACAGCCAAGGTTGGGAAGTTATTGCCTGTGCCATTAGCCTTTTAATTAAGTTGCTGGGAAATGTTTGAATTATTGAAACTTGACTTTCATTTCCCAAGTGACAGGTTAATGGTGATTTGGATTACACTGTGTTATTGCAGTCTAAGATTTAATCAAATCTTTTTATTTCTTTTCATGATTAACTGTTGTGTGTTCTAAGTAAGTGATTTGTATGTTTATTTGCCTAGAAATTAGATTTGGAGGTCATGGAATTTGAAAAAAAAAAGTTATTTGTTTATTAATGCTCAAATTTAGACTTTTTTTTACTTTTTTGCAGTTTTATAGATTTATGCCTTGGGTAAAATGTAATTAGTTAAAAAATAAATGACCTCTAGTCAAGAGGTTAACATTCTCCAAAGAGCAATTTTGTGGTGGTGCTGACTGACATTTCATTATATTGAGTGTTGTAACACTTAAAAGATTGTAATTTGATATACTAATTCCACAATGGATAAGAGCTAAAGTCATAGGTGGAAAAATTTCAAGTTTAGGAACCATGTACCCAGGGTCATTTCTATTGATTTCTGTTGTTGTAAGTCACGTAATTTTGAAATTAGTTGTCAATAATTATGCATGGATGGCAATTGTGAAATGTTAAGGTGTCATTTTTTGTTGTTGCTTAAGCTCTCCCCACATTGCTAATTGTAAAAATGAAACTTATTCAAAGGATTGACATATTTCAAGGAGTAAAAATCATAACTGGGTTCATTACTTTTTGAGATAAAGATTTGAATAGAATGATAATTTCTAGTTTTTGGCAGCCATTGTATGTGTATTTTGATCGCTGCAGGGGGTAAGGAGACAAGTGGGAGCTATCAATCTAGCATTGACATCACTGTTGCAAATAAAGATCTCTGCCCGTTGCAATGCCCGTTGGTGTTTAACAGGCTCTGCTGTGGGTGGAAACTGTTTCCCACCAAAGTACCACCATGATAGATGATGGGCAGGTTGCTGTTTTTTTTTATGATAATCCATGTCAGTATGGCAGTTATGATGCACAGTTTGACTAAAAGAAAGTACTAAAACTAGTAAAAGAGATCCTATTGTACATTTCAAGATTTTTAAATACAAAGATGAATGTCCCAAGAATAAAGAATTACTTCAGAAAAAGATTTGTATAGTTTTAAAATATATTACATGTGCTTATTTTTTAAGTCAGATGGCCAGAGCACAACAACATGTAGAAAAAGCCAAATAAAATAAAATAATGCTATACACTGACCTTTAGGATCTGCTCAAACCTGGACTGTGCTCTTTGTACATAAAAAGTCAAGAGGAACAGTGGAGTCATGTGCATTGTGGTTTCCTGTTGTTATTTTGTAAGAAATATGAACTTTTTGAGGGAGAATGTCTCACCAAGATTAAGAGGATTTCAGGGCAAGAACATGTGCTGTGGTATGAATGTAGCATATAGATATATATATATCACTTTCATGCAGCCAGGAACACATTTTAGCTCTTAAACTTCTTTATAGCTGCTTTATGTGAAGATAAGTTCTGGACATGTGTTGAAAAAGTCCACTAATCATGATTTTCAGAACTTTTTAGCTTAGTTACTAGATATATCTTGGCTTTTTTTGTGACTTGTTTACCTTTCACACATGTCCAACTTTGTAATTACTCATGACTGAAGTTGATTCTTAGCTCTGAAAAAGAGGAAGTACGAAAATGCTATTGTTGCTCCAGTTGGATTTTTTTCTTGTTTTTACACATATGTGAGAGTGTGTGTTACTAAAAGCAAGTGCAAAGTCTACAAATCCCAATATTTATCAAATCTCTCAAAACGCAATTTCTCACCATGGTGTTTTGCTCACTGGAAAAAACAATCAAAGACAGTTGTGAAGTTTTGTGAAGTAAACAATGAGAAGTTGTATTTACATGTACTTACTGGTCTGTATGGTTGACTATGTAGCTGTGATGAATAATTGGTTGGAAGACACTGTCCACATATATGTGTTGCAAGGCTATAAGAGATAGTGTTACAACACACATATAATTTTCTAGCATGATTTTCTGGTCCGTTGAGCTGGAAAGTAAAGATAAAGCTATGGGGTTTACATGCCATGCATATATTAAATTTCCTTAGNTTTTTGTCTTATTTGTTTCAGTGTTTTACAGTGATGAATTTTGGAGGGCATCGTCTTACCCAGTTCCTCAAAGCCAGGAAATAAGTATTGCATTCAAGGGTTCTTTCTTCTAAGATATGCTATACAGTATTACAGTAGTTTTATAGAATGGTGCTAGTGATACAGCTTATTTTTACTTGACCACTTGATTACATGTTGACTGTACGTCTTCATAAGGAATGATTCATTATTATACAATGTTGTATATTAGTTCTCTCATGGGGTCAATTTAATAGAGTAGGATGGTAACAAATCCATGCCTAGGGAAAATAATCAACTTTTAATCAACAAATGTTCTTTACTTCATTGATAATTCAAAATGTGATAATTCAAAATTTGCCCTCCTTCAAATAAGTTCCTGTGGTTATGTAATTGCATTGTCATTTAGTGTGGCAGAACATTCAGATATATTTTGTTTGTTGATACATTGGCCGAATCTTTTATTTATTTTCATATTTTTTCTTTTTACATCGTAAAAGATCTTGGAATAACTGTGAACTAAGATAAAACTGATGTATAATATAAGTTGAAGAAAATATATTTCATAATATTACAATTATCATTACAGACGGAAAAGTGTCAGCTTTTTATATTTCTACACATTCCATAAGAGAAAGGAAACTGAACATTAAGTTTTAAATGTTTATTTATATTTTTAATAGATGTACACAAATGTTAATAAATACCTGCAAAAATAAAATGTAGCAGTCTGTTCTTTCATACATGTAGTGTTGCAACTTATGTCGAAAAAATTCTATTTGCTTTAATTTAGGTTAATCCATCTTCTATTTTCCTAAAGTTAAAAAAAATCTAGAATTGATTATTTTTATTTCACGGACATGCTGTCACGCTTAAAAGAAGGACTTCTTTTAGATTCAAAATGTTTTAACGTTCCATACTTGCACCTTACAAACATTCAACTGAACCTGACCCTACTGAAAGAACATTTCCTGTGAATGACTTTGACCGCTTCTGAATATAAAATAAGAATAATACCACAACACCTTATGAAGATTCATGACTATTGCACACTTACATAAGCACTCAGGATGTTATCATTTAATAACTCTCTTCATCTGGTAATACTAGTTAGAAGTTAATTGTGCTGAAGAGAGATATAAAAGGTTCAACATATTAATTTATTACAGCATGCTCTACACAGACTACAACATTTACAGGACCAACAGCAGATGCATCTAATTTCCTTCTCAAAAAGTATAAGTTGAAGGTTAATTAAAACTTTCACTGCTTTGTTGAAGTGCATAAACCTTTGTTGGTCTTGAAAATCCATTTTACAGAATTTTACTCCTATCTGCTATTTAAAGAAATTTTGGAAGATAAGTTTCTGATCGGATATATTTTAGCTTTACCACATTCAGAATGTTTTGTTTCAAACCACATGAAAAATTCCCTGCCGTCTGTTTTTTCTATTTCACAGTCTTATCCCGTTTTCAGAGGATAAAAAAAATGTGAGAGGTTTATGTTTGGCTTCACTTGTGCATAACTAATATCTCAATCCTATGGAAAGGTTTTTGCCAAAAGTACTAATAAATTTGCACATACGCATTTCATATACAGCTTTAAAAAAACCTAATGAGATCTCAAAAGAGCAAGTATACGAAGAAAAAAAAACTTTCAAAGACAAAATGAAGCCTGAAGAGATTATGTAGGGCAGGAATAAGTTACAAGCATTGGAATGACTAGTGTTTATGGTTTGGGGGTGCCCCTAAAATATGAAACACACTTAATAAGTAAAAAAAAAAGCTACAAATGCGGACAATTCACAGGGAATGAATGCCAAGTCTGAAATACCATGATATCCATTGTTCCTAAACATTCTTCAATTAGTGTGTAAAGTCTTTTAATTCCATCTTTGTGCACTTTTAATTGAATTACTCTTTATGATATAATTTTCCACAAATTTTTACTGTAAGTAAAATGTGCACAAATTGTGCATCCTTTCAAATAAGACAAATGAGTTATTCATAGTTCAAATTTTGTAGGTATTTGTTTTAGAAACCTGACACCCAGGTTCAAAACCAATAAAGAAAACCATCAACTTTAATCAAATATCCAAACATCCCCTGTATTTTTTTTTTATTGCTATTGGGACACAAAGCATATTTTTCCTTAACCCTGAACTATAAATGGTTTTATTGTATAATTTACGTCTACAACACTGGGTCAAGTCCCCTTTCTACTAAGGAAACTAGAGGATCAGAGAGGCGAT